CAATGTCACCACCCTTGTCCCACTACACGGGCTCCCCAAGGGGCCCCAGGGGTACTTGGCGTCACCCTGAACCTACCCTCTGGGGCACTATCTGTGGCTCCGCCAGGGAGTTGGCTCCTCCCTTGTCCAGATAGAGGGGGTGCTGCTGGGCCCGGGGGAGACCTGGTTGCACTTGACCTTCAAACCTGGAAGCTGCCCTGGCAGGCCAGACACGGAGCTGTATTCCTGCTGCTGTTAGAAGCCAGACTGGAATTGATTCCAGGAACACCCTTTCCCAGAAGAATGTTTGGAGCTTGAGTGGCCCCACAGGCGCCTCCTGGCGGGTGGGCTGGTGCAGGAGATGCTGGCTCAGAGCCGGCCTCCCTGGGGAGGAGGAGGAGCAGGGAAGGGTGTTCCGGTAATAAACCAGCCCAGCTGCTGCCTGGCGACCCGTGTGCCCTACTGGTACCCAGCCCCAAGCCAGCTCCCTCTAAACTCATGGGCTTATCTAGCCCCTGTGGGGCCTGTGAGTCCTTCAAGGACCGTTTGAGAGCCCACCAGGCTAGGGTGACCCAAGCTGCCTCCCACTGTCGCTGCTGCAGCTTGAGGGAGGCCAGCATGGGGATGAGGGGTGGGTAGCTCACGGTGGTCCTCAGGCTGAGGCTGTGGAGGGGCAACCGCCGGGACCAGAACCCTGACCCCAAAGCAAACCTCCCCTCCCAGTGAGGTCAGCCCTGCAGTCCCACAGGGTGGTCTTACCCAGCAGTTTGTAGTCACAAAGCGGGGTTTCCACATTCAGCTTGAGCAGGTAAAGGACTGGGGCACAGAAGCTAGAGTGGACACCTGCCCCCCCTGGGCTGCGGGAGCTAACCGTGGGACCTGATCCCCAGAGGGTCACGGTCCTCCCACCCCAGCCTGTTCTTCAGCCCTACTGCTGGGCTAAGTGGCTGGAGACGCTCCCCCTTCTTCAGTGACGGCAGCTGGGGGAAATGAGGCAGCCGTGACCACTGCGTGTTGTGCCGTTGCCATCCACGCGTACACACGCCACTATCTGCTGTCACTTGATGTTGACAACTCCATGGGGCAAATTTTAGCCCGATTTACAAGTGAGGAAATAGTGACTTCTTTTGGTGGGGGCTAAGCTCTTATGAAGATGGTAATTAATGCTTATTGAGCATGAGCAATTTCCTGATAGTCAGTACACCCGGCTATTTGCCTGAGGGCTGAGTCCATACGCTCCAGGTGGGCTGTTGGCTGGGCGTGGAGGGCAGAGTGTGCGCGTCCCTAAGCCTCTCAGTAATGTGCCACTCCTCTCCTATTCATGTGAGGACTCTTGGGCATTGGACAGTCGTGTAGCCCACATTCTGCCTTTGGCTGCTGCATCCTCGTGGTGTCTACAGCCCCCTCTGTCCCCTGTTCTGTAAAGTGAGGTGCAGTGCAGAGGCCTGATCAGGTTCATAGGAGACTTCGGGTGTCAAAGCATCTGGCTATGTGGGAAATGGGCTGCAGGGTCCAGGGCAGAAGCAGGGTCCTGTTAGGAGGCTTCTGCAGTGGGAGAAGAAGTCAGGGGCGGGGTCAGCAGCTGGGTGTGGATGTCCAGGCGTATGTGCAGAGCTGGGTCTGAAGTGTGGATTCAGCAGGGCCACAAGGCTCGGGAGATAGATGAGTTAGATGAGGAGTTAGCTGAGCACTGCTGATTTCTGAAGACTGATAAGAAATGAGGGTGGTGCTTTTTTCCTGGACGCAACAGGGAGAGGTAAAAAAGAAACAGTGAAGAGCAAGGTCAGAAAGAGCAAGCAGAGGAGGATCAGGGCCGAGTGAGTGCAGGGGGAGGACCGGGGGCTGAGTGAGTGCAGGGGGAGGATGGGTGAGTGCAGGGGGAGGATGGGTGAGTGCAGGGGGAGGACGGGGGCTGAGTGAGTGCAGGGGGAGGATGGGTGAGTGCAGGGGGAGGACGGGGGCTGAGTGAGTGCAGGGGGAGGATGGGTGAGTGCAGGGGGAGGATGGGTGAGTGCAGGGGGAGGACTGGGGGCCGAGTGAGTGCAGGGGGAGGACCGGGGGCCGAGTGAGTGCAGGGGGAGGACCTGGGGCTGAGTGAGTGCGGGGGGAGGACCTGGGGCTGAGTGAGTGCAAGGGGAGGATGGGTGAGTGCAGGGAGAGGACTGGGGACCGAGTGAGTGCAGGGGGATGACCTGGGGCCGAGTGAGTGCGGGGGGAGGACCCGGGGCCGAGTGAGTGCGGGGGGATGACCCGGGGCTGAGTGCAGCCAGTGTGTCTGGAGGAGGCTGAGCCGGCTCACGTAGTGGACCTGCACCCTCAGGCGTCTCCCACCCACCTTGCCTAGAAAATGACCACTTTGAACTCTTCATTTTTGTGTTTTAAATTTTGGTCTGTATTTTTATTTCTAACGTGAATTACTTCATGCTTTTCTCATTTTGTTCTCTCCCGCACCCCCAGTATGTAACAAAGTATTCTTGTCCACCACCGTCCCTAGTTCTTTTTTTGCTCATGATTTTGGTTACATCAGTGTTAGTGTTTACATTACGATGTCTGTGTTTGTATTCAGAACTGAGTCATGTGGCAAATTCTACTGGTTTTGTTCTTTTCTGACCAACTTTTTCTTTTCTTTGGAGTTATTATTTGCCTTCTTTTTTCATTTGTTTAATTTTCATGTACTAGTCACTGAGGCCTGAACTCTCTCCTCTGCATCTTAGTGCATTCAATCACGTTCATCCCCTTGAGGGTGTCTCTCCTGAGCCTTCTGCCTGGCTCAAGGTCCCCATTCCTGTGGCGCACCCCCGACTCTCCTAGATGTGACCCTTGATGTAGTTCCTGTTTTCCTTGTTCTTGGTGTCCACTCTCAGTAGTATGTGTGTGTGCACACACCAGATTCCAGGTGGTCAGAGTCCTCTCCCTCCCAGCCATGCACGCAGATGGCACACAGCTCTTGCAAATACCCCTTTGGGATGCTGGGCATCACATACTTGCCCCACTGGACACACACAGGTATGCGTTTCCCTTCCTTCATGTTCACACGGCCCTTCCCTGTGCAGTGTGCTCTCTCACACACACCCTGCTGGCAATACACATGCATTCCTTTGGGAGTAGGGGGCTGAGGCACCGGAGGTAGAGGTGGGAGGGGAGGTAGAGATGGGGAATGGGCAGATGGCCCAAGTTGGAGGGAGATACTGTGGACTGAGTTAAAAAATGGGTTCCAGCTGGGCGTGGTGACTCACGCCTGTCATCCCAGCACTTTGGGAAGCTGCAGTGGGCAGATCACTTGAGGTCAGGAGTTCAAGACCAGCCTGGCCAACATGACAGACCCCCGTCTCTACTAAAAATACAAAAATTAGCCGGGTGTTGAGGCACATGCCTGCAATCCCGGCTGCTCGAGAGGCTGAGGCAGAGAATCGCTTGAACTTGGGAGGCGGAGATTGCAGTGAGCTGAGATCATGCCACTGCACTCCAACCTGGGCAACAGAGCAAGACTCTGTCTCTAAAAAAAAAAAAGGTGGGTCCCTCCACCTATCTGCCTGCGGGGCTGCCTGGTTAGGGCCAGTGTGTATTGCAGAGGTAAGTCCAGCCCCTGCCAGGCCCCCAACTGTGCCGGACTCCACCAGCCTGCTGCAGTTCCCTTGGGGACGAGGACTGGACAAGGGTGAAAGAGGACAAGGGCAAAGGGACTCGGGATGGGGAGGGCTGTCAGGAAGCCCCAGGTGAGGGGCACACTCCCCAGGGCAGTTACCAGCCTTGAGCTCAGCTGGCGTGAAGGAGAATGCCAACCTCCCTGTGCTGACTTGGAACAGCCTCGTCCCCACACAGGCATCTGGGCGTCCAGGGCTCAGAGGACAGCCAGGACCTAAGGCTGGTGGGGCCTAGAGCTGGCCTGAAGTCTTAAGGGCAAAGACCACAGGTCTCTAGCAGGTGCCACTGGAGGGACCGTCTCCTGGGCTTGCAGCCCCCACCAATCACAGTAACCACAGGGCCCGAGGCTTGCAGGCAGGCCCTGTGGTGGGTGGCAGGGTGAGGGCTCCCCCAGGAGGGCCCCAGTGCCTGGCGGGTGAGTAATTCTATTTACCTTTCCACAGCAGCCTCCTGTACCCTCATTTGCTCCAATTAGTCCGGCTCTGCCTGAGTGGCTCCAGCCCACGTGGCCCATGCAGGGGCTGTGAGCACCCCCTCCCCCAGGGCCCAGCTGCACCTCCCAGCAGCTCCTCAGAGCAGAGCCAACTGGCTGGCTCCTTCCCCAGCCCATGCACACACCTCAGTAGGTCTCACAGCGCCTGCTGCAGGGACCACCCGGAGGGCTGACCTCATGGGCATCCACCCTGGACTTGTCTCCACCCTTGCTGTGTGGTCCTGGGGACCTTAGACTCAGGGTGTGCCCCAGACAATGGGAGCCCCCACCCTGAAGCACCTCCTGTGTACAAGAGGCAGCTCTCTCCTGGTGCTCCCTGGCTGGCAAGCAGGGTGCCCACCCGCCACATGGTAGCACAAAGCCTGGCATGAGCCGGACCTTTCTGTGTGGCATGGGGGCTGCCCCTTCACCTGGACTCATGGCAATGTTCAGGCCCATTTCTTCCTGCCTCAGTCTGCTGGTGGCCTGCAAATTGCCCGAGGCAGCTGGAGTGGAGATGAAGTGGAGGCCAGGGGGCTCAGGAAGGGTAGGCCTCCACGGAGAAGATGCCCTCAGGTGAATCTGGTGCTGATGGGTTCCACAGGGGGACTGATGTCTCATGTTCCCTTAGCCACTGTGCCCCTCACATCTCTGCTGGTGAATGGGGACCCTCTGGTGGTGAAAGGGTCCAGGGGGACTGCCTGCCAGAACCAGGAGGAGAAGGTGCCCAGGGCCTGCTCGGATGGGCACAAGCTGGCCGCCCTCTGGGGTTCCAGTGCCAACTGTGTGAGCTGGGCATTGGGGGACCCTCAGCACCCACGCTGGTGCTGACCACCCACTGCTGTTCCATCCCCCACTGCTCCGGCCTCAGCTCTTCCAGCCCTGCTTTCCAGGACATGCGTGGTGGCCACCTGAGCTCTTTATTGTTGGAGGACATTTCCACACACGTAGGACATCACGGCACACATGGGGACACACGCGTGCAGTTCACAGCACAGTGCCCCACCCCTGCTCTTGACTCCTCTGCTCGCCCCTGCACCAGGGACAGGGCAGGCACAGGGAGGGGAGGCCCCACCTCACAGATCGTCACACTGGGGGTGGGGGTAGGTGGAAGCTGCTGTTGGCCCCCCCACCCCAGCCTCAGCTGGGCATCCAGTTCTGGGTGTCTGAGTCCAGCTCTAGCTGGGGTCCCAGCAGGGTTCAGAAGGGGCTCTCAGCTAACCTAGAGAGGCCACCGGCCAATGGGGTCGCCACAGATGAATCCTGGCCAGCACCGTGGCTGCCTCCACTGCTCCCAAACCGCAGCTTCCTGCTGGGAGAGCTGAGGCCGGGCGCAGACGAGGCCTTGTGGCTGCTAGTGTTCTGCTCCTCCTGTAGTGCTTTGCCCAGGCGCCAGCGGTGCCAGCGCTGCCGCAGCTCTGACTGTACCTGGGGGCAGGGTAAGGCAGGCCAGTCCCAGGGACTGCCTGTCCTCTCTGCCCCGCCGGAACCTGCTGTGGGCCTCACTGGAGATGCCCGGTCTCCGCTCTGAGGCGCACAGAGCTCCCTGGTGGCTCTCTATGCCACGCAGCCATTGCCACGGAAAGCACGGTCTGCAGACACCTGGGGACTCCCCACTGTGTACACCCTGATGATGGGGTGGAGGCCAACCTGTATTGGGGGCCTGACACCCAGCGCTATGGCAGCTGCACCCAGTAAGTGCAGGTGGAGGGAAATGCTTGGGCTGTGTGTGCTCCAACCCCTGGGCAGGGGTGGGGCTGGCATCCATGTGCCCCTGACCCTGATGGCCAGGGCTGATGGTCTCAGACATCCCCACTCACACTTACCTCCTTGTTGAGGAAGCAGTAGAGGACAGCCACCAGCAGGCCCTGGAGAGAGAGAGTGGTCAGGAGTGGCACTCTGCACCCTGGGTGGGGGTGCTGGAGGGCGGGCAGGCACCTGGAAGGAGCTGAGGAAGAGGTCGAAGAAGAGCTTGGCAGAGCGCAGGGTGCCCTGGGCGTGCTCGTCTGTCACAAAGGCGAAGACCACTTCGTGGACCCCCAGCAGGGGGATGAGAGTCAGTGTGGACTTGGCCAGCCTGCAGAGGCAGAGCCTGAGCCACCTGCCACCCTCACCCTCAACCCGCACCACTCGTGTGGAGCTTGGAGTCCCCACCCCAGGTCCCCTCTGGCCCCGAGGGTCTCCAGGTCTCCAGGAGCCGGCCAGCCACGGCACCCGCCACCCCTGCCTCTTGGCCCACATCATTCATGTGGAGCTTGGAGTCCCCACCCCAGGTCCCCTCTGGCCCCGAGGGTCTCCAGGTCTCCAGGAGCCAGCCCGCTACGGCACCCACCGGAACTTGTAGTCTGTGTGGTGCATCTGCCGTGCTCGCAGCTTGGCCACAAGCAGATGAACGACGCGGATGAAGATGAATAAGTTGATCTGCGTGAGAAGGGTGCCGGTCAGGGCCACCCCGAGCCCCAGGAGACTCTCCTGCAGGTGGGCCTGGCAGCCAGATAGGCCCTGGGCCACACGGCCCTGGGGATGGTGGGCATCCGGCCAGGGAGGAGCAGCCTGGCTCAGTGCCCAGGGTGCTGGCCAGTGTCCCGGTGTCCTTGATGGGTGCCAGGCTCCCTCCTGGCCCTCCCAGGCAGGATGCTGCTGTCTCCTGGGGCAAGCTGGGACACCAAGGGAGGAGGGGCTTGGGGTGTGCTCCTCGATCTTCATCTCCTCACCAGGATGGCCAGGAAGACGGGGAACCGCAGGATCCACCAGAAGCCCATGTTGTCATTGCTGGTCCAGCACCTGCGATGCCAGACCACTCACATAATGGGGCCCCACCCCTGCCCCTCAGCCCCTCAGTACTCCCAGCCCGATTTTGCCAGGATCTAATTCACACCTCAGTAAAGACAGGGAGAAGGTCGAGAATGACCCCCCTCCCCAAGCATCAGGCTCATCTCGAGCAAGCCCCTGCCTGCTTCTGGCCAGAGCCCCACTCCCCAGCCCCCAGGCCGCTCCCTGGGCTGCCCAGCTGCTCATACTCACTGGATGTTCTCGAACAGACACTTGACCACCGCCCAGGGGATGACGAACAGCATGGGGGCGCCTGTGGGGGGCAGTAGCTGTGGCCACAAGGCCGGGCCAGCGTGCCCAACCCCTCCTGTGCCAGCCTACTCACCCCAGCCGATGCCCAGGTAGAGGCGGAAGAAGCTCCTCTCGGGGAGGGTGGCCAGGCCCAGCAGGCTGTGCAGGTATAGGCCCTCCACCAGCAGCCAGCAGTAGTTGGCCACGATGCCGTAATGCATGAACACTGTGGCCACACGGCAGCCGGCCACCGCCTGGCACAGGTGCAGTGTGAGTGTGGCCACATGGCCACCTGCCTGGCCGTCTGCCCACCCGCCCACCCACCTTTGTGGGGCCACCCAGGGTGTGGGGCTCACTCCATCACTGAGCCAGATGCTGACACTGAGGTCGTCCTCGATCTTCTGGCTGTAGCGGGTCCTGAGCAGCCCGTCAATGACCAGCACAGAGCCCGCCTTCAGCACGAAGGATGCAAACAGGTTGGCATGGATGGCGTTGCGGGTGCAGTGCAGCTTGCTGTGGGGACAGCCAGTCAACACCGCCCTCCTCCCTGCCCTCTGCAGCCGCCCCGGGCGCTGGCGGGATCCTACCTGAGGCCCCCCAGGAGGGCCAAGGCGAGGAGCAGGGCTCCCAGGGACAGGGTGTAGCCCACCGAGTACATCGCCTGGAAGCTGCTGTACATCCTGGCCACCTCCTTCTGTGAGTCACAGTGGCCTGTGAGGCCGGGTGGAGCCCCTGTGCCCATCCCCATCCAGACCCACCTTGCCCGCCTGCCCGCCACCGGCTGACCTGGACATCAGTCTCCTCGCCGTCTATCTGGCACTGGGAGGCGTTTCGCCAAGGCTGCCCCCCGGGTCCTCGAACCCACTGCCCATCGGGCCCACATCTCTTGAACACGTAGCGGTGTTGCACTGGGGGTGTGGGGCAGGCTGGGGTCAGCCCCACCCTAGGCCCACCCCTCCCACAGCCCTGCCCCTCGATGGGTACCTTTGTGGTGCCAAGGCAGGTACCAGGGGCAGGAGATGTTGGCTGTGGTATTTGGGGGAGTGTCCGGCCAACAGGAATACTTGTCGAACGTTCTGTTGCAGACCAGCTCTGCAGAGTGGGGTGGGGCCGGGCAGAGTGGGGTAGGGCAGGGCAGGAGGAGGGGCTCCCTCAGCAGGTCTCTTTCCTACCTCTGGAAGCTTGAGTCCTGCAGTCACCTCCCCCAGGAGGTGGGCTGGGCTGCTGCCTCCCTTACCTGACCTCCACCTCCCCCACTTGACCTCCACCTCCCCCACCTGACCTCCAACTTCCCCACC